CTGACATGGAAATAAAATTAAAAAGTGGGAGGAATTGATTAAACCACTGAAGAATGGTGACAGACTGGTTTAAAATAAGATGGAGACTGGGGCAGCAGATTAATAGAGGTGGGGTTGCATGAGTCATACTTATATAACTCTACTCATTTTAGTAAAAATACCAAAAACATCCACAAAAAAACCCCAAAACAAACAAACAAACAAAAAAGAAACCACAAACAAAAAAAAACAAACAAAAAACACAGAGACTTCAGAACTTACATGCTTCTCAGAGGAAGCAGAAATTCAGGTAGAGGGCAAAAGGAGATGGACGAGAGCTAATGAGGCCTCCAGCCCATGAAAGAGGATCAGTGAACCCTAACCTCTATCTGCCCTTGGGTCAGAATGTCTATGTGATTATTCAGAGTATGTTTCAAAAACAAACAATACATTAAAATGGTCTTATTCAAAGAAGTGACAGTAAATCTTTAAAATATTGGAAATACTGCATTTAAGGTAGAGAGGGTAAATATGCCTGCTGTGTCAAACTAGTATAAGTATAGGCCCATTTTTTTGTCATCACTGCTGACTAAGTTAGGAAATGACCTCATTCTTCACCTGGATATATGGAGTCACACTCTCAAAGAAAAGTCTGCTGGGCTAACCAACGATCACTATTGTGACTGTCATATTGATTATTCCAAACATCCACAGCAAAATTATTAATCTCATTATTGACCAAATGGAAAATTTATCTCTTGCTAAGTTGCATGCACAAATGTCATGAGCTGCCAGAGTTGTGTCCATCAGTGACTGCAAAGATCTGTGTTTACAGAGCCAGTAGAGCTGCAGGATGAACAGCAGAACTGTTAGTACAGACCTATTTTAGTATAGATCTATATAGACCTACAGCAGCTGTAACACTGCTGAGGACTGTTAGCTTTTGTGGCTTCTGCTGGCACTTATATTTTCTTACTTAGGGAATTTGCATGGAGAGTATTAATTACAGAAGTCAGAACACAGTAAGATAATAAATGCTGAAGGAAATTCTCGACTCCCTCAAAGCAGAAAGGAAAGGATGGAAGATTTATTTTTGCTTTTGTTTAATGACAATTAGTAAAGCACGGTTGAGATTAATCATAGAATTGAAACACAATAAACCTTCCTATAATAAATTCATGGTTATTATTTACAACTTGGTTGTGGCTAATAACCAGTGAGACTGATGCTCATTATAATAGATAATGTATAATTTAGGTAATATTAGATATCTTATTTACTAAATGGCTGTCATATATCTCTTCTTAAAAGGCTGTCACTATATTTTAGAACAATTTAAAAATAATAAAATACTATTATAATAAAGCACAGTATAATGAGTAGGAGAAAAGAACAGGTTCTAAAAAATTGATGAGACATTGCTTGGTAAGTTGACCTTTTAGAAATACCCCTTCCTTCACTTATCTTCTAAATGAAAGGCAGGATTATTTTTAATTCCAGCTAATGAGCATAGATATAAGCAGTCATAATTAAAAGTCACTCACATTTGAGCCAGCTATGGGTTTGCTATTATAACATAGAGTAACACTTGAGTTAAAGTTGCATGACAAATACTGTTTTATTTCAAATTTTTAATTCTAAAATCTTTTAACTGTGACACAACTTTTTCCCCACAAGATAAGGACCTAATTCTTCAAGTAATATTATACAGAGACAGAATAATAAATTTCTGTTCAAAGGAAGATCCTCTCTATAGAAGAGTTTAAGTTCAAAACCATCAACAAAGATGATGTTCTTTTGTGACAGGAGAAATAAATTTTTCCCATAATAATGAGAAAATATATTGCTTTTTCAAACACTTTTAACCATGGAAAACAGCAGAGGACTGAAAGCTGGAATTTGACATAATAATCATCACTAAAATGAAATGCCTATGAGTGTTTTATCAAAAATTCTTTCAGAAAAACTTTTCAAAAGTGTCTGCATATGCAGCTGAATTGGACTTTTTTGCAAGATTTTGAAGAGCACAGCTAAAGAAGACTGCTCTGAATACCTGTTTGTCACTAACTCCATAGGGAGAAGGAAACCCGAAGGCACACAAAATTGTGTGCACTTCTGGCTGTTGTGTAAAGTTGCTCTTTCCTCACAGAAAACAAAATTTACTATTTACAATAGCTATGGAGCAAAAGTTGCTGAATGGCGCTAATGATATATTTATCTTTTCATTTTCTCATGGTTGCTTTTAGGATTAAATAGCACTGGAGTTGGCTACCTTTATTTCTTACTCAATTGTTTTCTATTCCTTTTGCTACGTATCACTTCTGCTCTTTTAACGGTATAATCTTAACATAAAAAAAGCACAATGATTCAATTAAAATAGCAGCATACGATGGACCCAGGCAGAGTATCTCTTGCTGCGCTGGAAACGATCTTCCTCCAAATACTCCTGAGTATGGTCTCATATGATTTGCATCTTTCTGGCAGTGCTGCACGTTACAGTACGTGGAATAGACTGGGAGAATGGTAGCTGAGTTCCATGTTAGGAGAGCTGAGATGCAACCTGCAAGCACTCCCAGGGGAATCTTGTTTCCAACTTCCATTAGATTAAATTCAAAATCTTAAAATGGTTTTGAACAAGCTTAGGTTCTCCATATTTATACAGCACATATCCTGTGGGATTAAAAATGACAGGTGTCTGCTTTGGTGAAGTTGGATGTAAAACAAGAGTATGATGACAGGATTTGTATTCTTTCTTTAAATAAAAATAAAGGTAAATTGTTAAAATCCAAGGAAGGACAGTTGTCTTTCTTGGTATGGTTGAGAACTGGGGCTGGGTTTCATTTCACAGTCTAATATAAAAGCTCATTAGCTCAGAGATCCTCAACTATCCCAAAGAGAGGCAGTTTTTAGGGCCCTGCTTCGTTTCACCTCTCTTTTCAGAACCACAGAATGGAATTTCTTTTTCAATCTTCATTTCTACAGCAAGGATGTGGGGAAGGTTATTATCATGTTGCTAAGGGAAATGCATCAACCCATCATCAAAAGCCAATATTATTGACTGACAGTATTTGGAGAGGGTTATGACTTGTAAAACCTGTTATTCACCTTACTACTGGAACAATACTGCTCTCTCTTGGAGTGAGTCAAGGAGAAATAACAGAAACTGTTACATTGTAAATTACTCTTTTTTTTTTTTACTAAAGGGTATTGATTGTGAGATGTATTTGACTTTTTCCTGGTCTGACCTCCATTTTACTTGAATTCCAGAGGAAAATGTTTCCTGTTTTGAAAACTGAATGAAAATTAAAGATTAAGTAATGCTCCCTGCCCTATTTTTCAGTTTCTTCTACCATTTTCTACTAGACTTTTAATCTGAAAAATTTCTTTGCTGTTTTGTTAGAGCAACTATTCCACTCCAAATAAGTAATTTACAACCCATTTTGAGCTATACAAGCACCATCTCCTCTAAAAATAAAGGCACTACAATGTACTTGTCAGAGCTTCCCTGATGCAAGCAGAGCAGCATTTGCTTACCTCAGCATGAGAGTTCATTGTACTTTTTCAAGCTAGATTTTCTTACCTCTTACACCTTTATCTGTGCTGAGCAGATCTTTTCTTCTTATGTTACATATCTTAGTGGTTTTCCAGGCACAGGGAGATACAATAACTACTGAATCTGACTTAGGATGTTGACCAGACTTCAGTGTGCCTTTAATGTGGTGTCCCAAGGAAAAGATGTGCACCCCAGTATCTTGGCACAACATTTCTCAATTTCAGCCACATGTGACTGAGGGACAGGGGTCTTGTAAACGTGAAATCCCAAAAGAGGAATGAGAATCAGTGAACAGTTGACCACTGATATCCCACTTGTTGGGATCATCACCTCTGCTAATGAAACAACTGAGCAAGCACAATACTTAACCATTCTAATAACAGGAATCAGCTGTTTATGAACAGCTAGTTGATTATGACCTATAGGCTACAAGTCTTGCACAGACATACAAAATATGGAAAAAATAAAAAAGGAGGTTTTTTCCGGAGTTGGCCAGGTCTGAAGGATGCTGGTATTTCCTGTGCTGGGGGCATGTGCAGGAGAGATACAAACTTTGTATCACCAAACTTTATTCATTCCAGTTCCTCATTTGTAATTTGGCATCATCACAAAGTGACTGAAAACACAGCACAAGCAACTAATTCTATCCAAACAGAAGGTGGAAACTTATTCAGGAGAGAGAAAATTTAAAATTTTTAAAAGGGATATTCCTGTGAGTGTAACTTAGTCCATATTATGACAATTGAGTCAATGGTGAGGAAGACACAAACTCCCTCTTCTTTATCTAACCGAACAACTGGCAAGTTGTTTGCTTCCCAACACAGCACTGCTCTGAATAGCTGGGTGGCCTCAGGAGAACTCTTCCAAGAGTCCGTCTCTGCCTAAGGCCATTCTGTATCCCAGGGCTGGATACCATGAAGTCAGCTGAAAAAGTGACACGCTGCCACTTACTCCTCAAAGCTTAAAACTTATGAAGTAGTGGACGTTGTCCAAACGTTTATTATTAAAACAATTAAAATGCCAAGCCTGTGGCTTACACTGGATTTACGACAAACCTGTTCTTTGACAGATCTTTAATGTCTCCTGTATCCTTGGAGTAACTAATCACTGTTTCGTTAAAACGGGTACTTGAAATACAAAATAAAGAGAAATTTGTTGATGATACACACATATCCAGGAATGCACATATCAAAATGTGTCACCAGCGCATGAAATGGATAAAAGCACAGTCTTATAAATAACAGTTTATAGCTCTAGTCTGCTGGAAAAATATTCCTCTCAAAACTAATAACATTTTATTCGAGGTATTTCTTGAAAATTGCATTATTGCTATATACACAGGACATCTGCTGATACCACAGTAATTTAAACAAAAGGAAGAAGTAATAATAGCACTTCACAGTACCCCAGATAATATGATAAGCCAAAATTAATAGACAATATTTAGTATTAAATTAATTAACCATACCTTGAAAAATAATGGCTCCTCAGGGAGAGGGCTAACAGGGAGTGAGGTGGTACTACTAGCTGGACTCATGTCTGTACTCTGAAAGAAAAGCACACAGGAGTTTGCATTTTCAATTAAGTTCTACATTTTTTGAGAGAAGAAAAAAAGCTTGAAAACGATACTGAAAATCCAACAGAATTAGATTGACAAGGCAACTGCAATCTGTACTTTATTTACTTGTAATTAGTTCAAGTATTTCACTAATGGTTAAGTACTCTGCATTTTCTTTATTTTAAATTAATTCCCCATTCAAAGACTGAAACACATGCACACATACACAAATAAGCCCTAATATATGAATAGAAACATGGAAGACCAAAGTTATTAATAAAAATAAGTCATTATTCTTCAATGGACCTATCAAGTCTAAATGCTTGAAAGATTGATCTAAACCCCTACTCTCTGTTGGTTAGTATGGTCACTATTTTTACAGCTGTGATAGATATGAAAAGAAGTGTGGAAGCTCTTAGTGATTTGGAATGGTAATAATAATAGAATAAAATCTGGATTTTAAAAAGATATATAAACAATAACACAACTGTTCTGGAGAAAACCAGAATATGAGATACTTTTTGGAAAATAACTCCTCAAATAATAAAATGAAAATAAATCCATCACAACCACCAATAAAACAGAAAAGATATAATGAAGAATACAAAAAAATCAACAAATTTGCATGGCCTAGAAATGCATTTCCTTCTCATACTGTAACATTGCAATGTAGAATGAATTAACGAATTCAGCTTGTTTAACTAATCTGATACCTGTTTTCACATCAATAGGGATCAACTCTGAGCCCTTTAAAAAAACCAAATTCTGCAAGTGAAGAATACGGCTCCACCCATTAAGTGATAACAGATCACTCATCAGAAGATTTTTACATTATGTAGAGACATTGCATTTTATTCAACCAACTGGTACATGATGAAAAATGAGATAAAATTTTGGGTACAAAATCCCTACATCAGATCTCAAATAGAGCGCACAGACTTCAAAGTCAACACCTACTGAGAAAATTTCTGAGTTTAATTAGATACACATCAGTTACACCACACCGGAAAGAAGAGACAACAGCTACTTGCTAAATAAAAGAGATGCAAATTAAGGAGAAAGAAGGGGACCATGGTAATTATTTCCTAAGAGAAAGAGAGAGTCAGGTAATTAATAACACATGGAACACAGAGAAGTTGTTGAGGAATAAGGGAGATTACAGCATGTCAGAAAGCCAATATGTAAATTGTCTAACAGTAGAGCAGAGAATACAGTCCGTGGTTTTCCAGCAATACAGACAATCAGGTATGTGCACATTGTGAAAAACATGCTCCTTTGGAAACAAGTCATCTTCCAGTCTGCAGCAACTATTCTTTAAATGAAAGCAGCTTCACCTCACCTCATAAATTCAGATTTTTCTTGGTACAAACCCTTGCCTTTAATCTCATCTTTTCTAGGAAGTGGCCCATGTATCAACCCTCATTAATTGTACCATAAAATAAGGACTGTCCACTGACAGAGGCCAATTTAATTTGCTACAATGGCTTTTCAACAAGGGTAAACACTGCAATGGTAGTTGGCAGACATTGACTTCTCTGGAGATCAGTATCACAATTTATTGATCTAAGAAGTTAATACTGACAGAGAAAACCTTCAGTGGATATTAGAGCTAGAGATCAAATAAATCTTTATAATAACTGAAGAAAAGACAATCTGTGTACTTTATAGCTTTTACTAAGGAGTGTTGAACTGACTTTCAGAGTGATAGTTTTAGTTGTATCATAAGTTATGTCACAAAGTATCATTTTATAATCTAGAAGTTGAGTAGAGCTAGGAAATTAATAAGTGCAGTCAGCAAACTCAGTAGTGACATTTTGATATACTGAAGATAATCAAAGACCTGCAAATGGATTTATTAATGGGTCTGCATAGCATCTGTATGAAATATTGTACTTAAATGTTATTATCCCATTTTATCTGTGGAAGTGAAAAAGAAGAGAAAGTGATTTGCTCAAAGCTGTGAAGGGAGGTTAGAAACAAAGACACAGTCAGAAATCCAGTTATTCATCCAGACTGCGCAATGGTCTACACACTTTTGGAGTGCTCTGATCTCTGTCATTTCTATACTATTTAGCATCACAAAGAGTCTTTGCTGATACACATACATCATGCAAAAAAATCCTATTAAAAAAATGAGGCCAGAAAAATGAATATCAGTTTAGATAAGAAAAGACAGTAGATACACAATACAAACTTTCATTTCTTACCCCCCCCCATGTTTGAGAAACTGTCCCCAACACCTCCAATCTCTCTCACTAAGAGAGAGTGCCTCCTTATAAGGTGGATAGGCCTATTTTCTAATGTCTCTGAATAGAATTCAGGTGGTTACTTTATAAATCTATTTCATGTCTCTTTTATTAGAAGGTATAGTTAATTATTCTTACTAAGTATTAATAAATGCAGTTAAAAGCTGAGACATTTAATTATTGTTTTCCAGCATTCGCCTGGTCTTGCTGCTTGCTGCTCCCATAGCTTAGAAGGCCACCTGAGTTATTGCAGCTCCCAGTGCAGGGATGAAGCATAAATTACATCTGCTACTGTGTCTTGCTACCTCTTTTTATGCTAGTATGTGAGGTGAAGGTGGCCAAGTATGTTTTCAGTCGTTCAATTCTCTACTGATTAACAATGAGCAATTAGTATACAGGTGTACAGATTAGACCTGACTGCTCTTACAACGTAAGCAAAGCTAATCACCTGAGCTGTGAAATGCCAGTGGGAAATTTCACCTCATATAAGACACTGATCTATCACTTAAAAGCATTTGTATGTCTAGTACTGTTTTTTTAGAAGAGTCCGAATTCTCAGGAAGTCTATCAAATCTAATACTTTGCACAGTAATTTTTTTCAGCGAGGAGGGATCAGCAGGAAGCATATTTTGTTAACTTTCTACCTTGAAAAATAGCTGGAAAGATGCTCTTTTAGCCTTTTAATTAGGATGAATCAATTATAAAGTCCATAACCAGCATGCAACATAAAGTGTGCATAACCACAATTTGTTGCAGGCTTACAGTGTTTGAAGTAGTTCACACTCAGATCATATTTTCACATTGTTTATTTATATTTAATATAAACTTAATTTACTCAAATATTTAAATTGACCAAGTTACCTATCTCTCCTCTCCTTATATTAAATGCAAAAATGTAAGAATACCAAAGTACTAGGCACAAATTACTACTACTACCGGTTCTTCAGTTTCAAAAAACGGCAATATGAAAATTCTTAACATAAAAATAATTTAGTAGCTGGCACAAAGAAAACACCTTAATAAACATGGTTTTAGATGTGTAAATTTAAAGAAAGAAATCTAGGGGTTTCTGGTTTACAATTGAGTATATACAGAGGAAAAAACACAGTATTTTTATAAGCATAGAAATGTCACATTTCTCATAACAGACAACGACACATACACACCACATAATTAATAGATTTATGTAATAGTAAATATCTCTTCCTTTCTGCTCTTTGTTTTCCCATTGCTCATCCTTCTAGTTTGTCGTCATCCCTTGCTTTCCTCCACAAAACTCATAATAAACAGAGACACGACTTTCCTTGGTCAGATAACTTCCTGGCACACAGAGATTAGATGAAGAGTCCATTAATATGTAGGAGAAAACCATTTTTACCTTCCCAAACAGCAAATTCACCTCAAGTTAATCTCTAAAACCCCCCTTCACTTCCATCGCAAGTAGAATCTAATTTCAAAAGTAATTTGGACAATGACTTTGGGGTTAACATCTTTTAGAGAAGAGTACTTGCAGGATCATCAATTACTGTCACTGTGTGAGTTGGGACTGCTACTATGACACATTATATTAAATGCAACTCCAGACATATTTTTATCCTAATGAAAACCAGGGGGTTGCTTTCACAGATGCAAATGCTTTGTTGATCAGTCGAGAACTGATTTCCTTGAGCAAAACTCTACTCCCCCTTCAGTTTCTATTGTTTCTTTCATACTTCATTGACTATACTATCCAGCCTTGACATTTTGTTATTGTATATTCTTTCCTAATAATATCATATAACATCAGCTTTTTCTGCTCTTTCAGCAGGCAATTGAGAGAACCAAGTGCTCTCCTGGGATTTTAATCTGCAGGCTGCCTATTTCAATTGTTTTTCTTTACTTGCAGGAGATCTTTCAGGTTCAAATGTACACATTTTTTTGCTCAAACTGCACTTAGCTTTGTGGCAAATATGATGGCTGCCTCACATAGTAGGTTCAGTGGGTTTTTTGTTTGTTTTTCTTTACTCTAGTCACAAAGACACGTTCTTTCTCCAAAGCCTGCATCACAGCACTAACTACCTGATACTCCATACCACAGTTATAGCCTGAATCTAGAAGAAAATGTCTGCATCCACTCAGTGTATCAGCAAAGAATTTGTGGGCTCTCTCAAATTCCTATATCTTCCCTGCATAGAGATCCATTGTTTTTCTGCACTTCCAAATGAAACACTTAGAAAAGAAGTAACCAATTAATTAAACTGACAAAGGTAAAATCAGGTACCAGAATTGACTCCTCTCCCTCTCTTACACACACATGCATGTTCTGTATCATTATACAGCATAGTACATTGGGACCAAGATAGAAGCTGTAGCCAGAAAGGATCAGACACCAATGCAACCAATAAATGTACCTACAATTACATTAAGGAGGACAGAAATATTTACAGAATATACATTTAAATATTACTGGATATGTGGAAGTAATTATCTTGATGGGTTAGGAAAAAAATGCTCCTGAAAACAGGTTGCTCTCTAAGTTCCTCTGAACTATCCACAGATGGCCATTGTTTCAGCCAGACATGGATTTAAGTGCCAATTTCAGCAAAACAGTTCCTATGCTCATATACTCATACAATTAACTGCTCTCCATGAAGCACTGAAAGATATTTGTGATCTCCTTACAATGTAATGTCTTTTTTTTAGCCTTTAGACTAAAAAAAACCCACTATTCCTTTGAGACAAAAATCTATTTCCAATAGCTAT